GAGAGAGAGAGAGAGAGAGAGAGAGAGAGAGAGAGAGAGAGAGAGAGGAACCAACATGAGAGGCTCGCCTGTGGCTATGGTTGACCTGCGTCTTCACTTCCTTGGTGCTGCATCTAGAAGGCCCCTGTGTCACTGTGGGTTCCAGTTGGTCTTGGACTCCTTTCGAGAGTATCTGTGGTGGATGGAGGTGGGAGAGACATAGTGGAGATTGAATTTCCTTTTGAACATCCGTGATGAGCATGGATGTTCCGCCATAGTGCTAGCTCTTCAGTCTTAACCGAGGAGAGAGAAGTGAGGTTATGGCCCGAAAGGAGAGCTCTTTGAGTGCTGGCAAAGACGGGTAATACTCGGGCATGATTCCTGTTCATTCATTCATTTGTGGTTGTATTTAATTGATTATGAGAGGAGTGGCAAGGCAGCAGATGATGCGAGAAGGAAGAAGTGAGGGGGAAGACGTTGGTCCAACTGGTCTGGTTCTTCACGTCTTCTTTCGAGTTTCAGCAAGTCTTGACGCTCTCTATCGCGACCTTTCATTCTTTTCAGCTCTCTCTTTTTCTCCACGTCTTCTTTTGAGTTTCAGCAAGTTTTGCATTTTCTCACAATTTGAGTTTTGCATTATGAATGTGGCAGGATCATAGCGGTGCATGCATCGACAGACAAAGAAAGAAACAAACTTGAAGGAAGGAAGGAAGGAAGGGAAGGGGGGAGAGAGAGAGAGAGAGAGAGAGAGAGAGAGAGAGAGAGAGAGAGAGAGAGAGAGAGAGAGAGAGAGTATTGCCTTGGCTTCCGCAACGTCCTTGGAAGGTGGCAGGATGGAGATTGGCAGACCGCCTAACGATGAGGTAGCAGTGCCGATTGGGATCCCTGTTGTTACCTCGCCCTCTCCGGGCAGCGTGATACCTGCGCCGGGATTTGCCCAGGCGACCTTCGACGACAAAACTGCTTAAACTCTGACATTTCAGAATCTGACGTACAAGGTGACCATGGGGAAAGGCAGCGGCTCTGGAGGGAAGTCACAGAAGGACTTGTTGAAGAACATCAATGGAGAGGCTCGCCCTGGGGAGATCTTGGCCATTGTGGGTCCATCGGGAGCGGGGAAATCCACTCTCCTGGACGCGCTTGCTGGTCGGATCACGGCCAAAAGTCTAGAGGGTATCATTATGACCAATGGAACACTCATGGGCAGCAAGCAGTACCGCAAGCTTTCTGGGTACGTTATGCAAGACGATAACCTGTTTCCGCACCTCACAGTGAAAGAGACGCTGATGTTCAGCGCTCGCCTCCGGCTTCTTGGTGGCATGCCGATGCACGTCAAAGCCGCGCGCGTCGACATGCTTATCGCGATGTTGGGCCTCCGTGAATGCGCACACACCCGGATAGGCAACGAGCAAGTCCGCGGTGTGTCCGGGGGCCAGAAGAGGCGGGTCTCCATCGGTGTGGATCTGATCCATGACCCCGCCGTTCTGTTCCTGGACGAGCCGACGTCTGGACTCGATAGCACCTCCTCGCTGAACGTGGTCCAGAACTTGTACCAGATTGCGACCACTCGCCGGCGCACCATCTTGTTGACCATTCACCAGCCTAGCTTTCGCATCCTGGAGCGTATCCACAACCTCATGATCTTGGCACGTGGCTCCTTGGTGTACAGCGGTAGTTACCCCGACCTGTCGATCTTTCTGACCGACTACGGCAGACGCGTTTCCGACCATGTCAATGTGCTGGAGTTCGCTCTGGACGTGATCGAGAAGCTGCAGGAGTCGCCGCACGGTGTCGATTCCCTTGCCGAGTTCCACTCCACCAGATCCCAATCCAAGCTCCGGCCTTCCTTGTCTGGATTGAGCAATATCGGACAGCTGGCAGAGGCTGCAGACTTCGCCACGAGTCCATTCACGGAGACGTTGACTCTCTGCCACCGCAACCTCATAAACATAGTTCGAACTCCGGAGTCGTTTGTGTCTGGGCTCGGCCTGATGCTCGTCACGGGAATGATTCTGGGCTCGCTTTTCTACGGCGTGGGCAACGATGAGAGGGGTACCTTCGACAGGAACTCCTTCTTTTCCTTCGCTTGCGTCCTCCCGATGCTTAGCGGCATTAACGCTCTTCCCATTTTCTAAATGGAAAGGAACATTTTCATGCGGGAGACGAGCCGAGGATCTTATCGCACGTCTTCCTACGTCGTTGCCAACTGTCTCGTTTTCCTCCCCTTCTTCTTCGTCCAGTCCGTGCTGTTTACCCTGACGTCGTACTTCTTGGTGGGTCTCGTTCATGACGCTTCCGCCGTTTGCCTTTTCACAGCCACCATGTTCCTCACCATCGCCCTTGGCAACACCTACGTGACATTCTTGAGCTGTCTGGTGCCCGACTTCGTCGCTGGCAACGCCATCATCACTGCCGTCACCGCCTTCATGTTCCTCTTCTTGGTTTCTTCATTCCTACGGATTATATTCCGGATTACTGGATCTGGTTCCACTACATCTCCACGTTCAAGTACCCGATAGAGTAATGGCAGAAGAGCGAGTACAGTCACATCGAGCACTGGCAAGCCGGGATCTCCGGAAGCGAGGTCGCCGAGAAACTGGGTTTTGGGGATGTCAGCGTGAAAACCAACCTTGGCGTAATTGTAGGCATGGTGGTGGCCTATAGGATACTCTTCTATGCTGCTCTTCGACTCAGGAGCTCCTTTATGCGAAAGTAGTAGAGGTTCAGAAAAGGGCCGGGGGGGGGGGGGGGGGGGGGGGGGGGGTGCTCGGGGAGGCGGAGGTGCACAGTAACTAGTTTCGCCCCTGGTTGTATATTGGAACCTCCTCTAGATAGGTCTTCTTCTGAGGAGCTCCAACATGCGACGGAAGTAGAGGACATATTAGGAGTTGTACAAATTCTTATCTCCTAAATTTATGTCACATATATTAACTTAATCAATGGCATCTTTGATGGCCATTAATTTGTTTTAACACCAGTTACTTGGAAATTCGTTTGTGAGAGGGAGTACAGTAGCAGTAGTACAGTGTGTCGGGGAGCTTAGGCGTTCGACCCAGCTATTTGTTTGGGCTGCAACGGTTAGTATGTTCTTGGCATCCTACGTCACGAAGTTTGCCAGGGGTATCATGGCTGACGAGGAGGCATGAAGAATGCTCGTCGAGTGCATGGTTCAGCACGGCGTGCGAAGCAGGGGGGTTTGTGGCGCGCGATGGGTCGCTGGTTATTAGGAATTAGGGCCAGATCCCACTGGCAAAGAGGATTGGAAGAAGTGTGTGAATCTGGACGTTTTCCACGCAGAGGTGCAGAAAAGTAGATCAATCACAAATTTTCGCACCTGTCAGCAAACACGTCCACATTCAGACACTTACTGCAATCCTCTTTGCCGGTGGGATCT